GTCAAGAAGTTGTGCAATTAAAGGAACTAAATAGGTTGACCTCACAACTAAATTCAAGGAGTTTTGCTTCTACAAGTATGATGGGAGTAAGGATTAATATGCCTAAGAAGTTTAATGGAACAAGATCAAAATTTTGAGGATTTTTGCAACAAGTCAAGTTCTATCTAAAGATGCATCCTTTCCATATTCTAATGGATTTATTCAAGTTGGATTCATAGGCACACTTATATCAAAAAGTGTTTTTTTTTTGTTTGCATTTTTAATAAAAAAAAGATTTGTAAATCTTTTATGATTTCAATTCATTCCTAAAAGTATTTACGGCCATATTTGAAGAAAGTGATGAAAAAAGAGTAGCAAAGATCAAATCTTATCTTTATGTCAAAGTTCACGATTAGGTACCATATATACTACTCAATTCCAAAACCTTGCTTGTAATGTGGACTAAAATAACAAAGCCCTTATCAATCAATTTCAATATGGATTAAAAGATAATATCAAAGATTTTTTATAAACAATATCAAAGATAAAATCTTTAGAATAATTTATTGCTAAAGCCATTGTATGTAATAATCAATTATTTCAAAGATGTCAAGAACAAAGACTTGATTGAAGAAGAACAAGTCGAATAATGATGGTAGCTCCAAAGTTTTCAGAAACTTATTCATCAAAGTAAAAATCAATACAAATTGATATGATATGTTTTAAATCCCTCAAACATTAGAAAAAGATTTGACAATATCAAAAAGGTTTATACTTATATTATAGAGAAGCTAAATACATTGCTTAACATTGTCTAAAGAAACAATGCAACCACAAAATGAGAAACATGGTTGCCAAAGAAGTCAATGTATTAAAAAGCAATTTTCTCCAACTATAATAGGAACCATGTGGTTGAAATTTGGTATAACTTCTAATAAAGATCCTATTCTTTTTTCAAATCCAATATCTTGTTTTATAATAGAAGTTTATTTTGGACCAAAAAATCACAAAGTTTTAGCTTTATTAAATTTAGAAGTCTCAGTTTGTTTTATAAATAAAGATTTTACTAAAAAATAAGAGATATTATTAGCTAAAAAAATTAAATCCATACATGTAGAAGTCATAGATAGTCATTTGCTATCTTCTAGAAATATTACACATGAGATTATTTCTTTAGATGTAGCAATTAAAGATCATAACTTATTAAAACATTCAATAAGATCACTATCAAAAATAGATATCTTCTAACTTTTATTTCAAGACTTTTTGATCAATTCAATCAAGCAAAGATCTATACAAAAATAGATCTATAAGGACCATATAATTTGATATACATTAAAAAAAGAGATGAATAAAAAACTAAATTTCAAACTAAATATGGATGTTTTAAATATAATGTCATGCCTTTTGAACTCATAAATGTACCAATTACTTTTCAACATCTAATGAATAATGTCGTTTGTGAATTTTGAGTAGAATAAAAGAGCCAAAGTATCATTTGATGTTTTAAAAAAAGAATTTATTTTTACACTATTTTTATATCATATTGACTTCTCTCGGACATTTTACATGGAATTAGATGCATTAGATTTTACCTTGGATGGACTATTATCACAAATAGAAGCAGATAACAAATTCCATCCATTAACTTTTCATTCCAAAAACTTTTAGGAGCAGAATTTAATTATAAGATCTACCACAAAGAGTTCTTTACAATCATAGATTCATTTCAAAAATGGTATCATTATCTAGATGGTGCCTTGAATCCAATCATCATATATACAAATTACAAGAACTTTGAGTACTTCATGTCAACAAGTATTTTGAATTGTCACCAAATTCGTTGAAGCATGTCTTTATGAAGATTTGATTTCAAGATGACTTATCAACTCAAAAAACAAGATTTATTGGACATCCTTTCTAGATGCTCTTATCTTGTACCAAAAGAAGAAAATACAACTTTTGATCCAGAAAGAATAATTTTTTTGAAGTCGGAGTATTTTCAGCTTCAAGCAATAAAATCAGCATTGATTCTTGATTCAATCTTTATCAAGCAAATTCAATTAAGCATATCTTTTGATTCTCTTGTCCATGATATTAAAAATAATTCTTCTAAATCTCATGATATTTCTAAGTTCGAGTTTAAAAACAATCTATTCTTTTTCTAAGAACAATTATACATTCCAGAAGGTAGGACACAATTACGTGTTCTTCAAACTTGTCATGACTCTACAACAACCAGATATTTTGGATACAATAAGATTTTGGAACTAATATCAAGAGGAAATCAAAGAATTTGTACAATCATGTAATATTTGTAAAAGATCTAAAACTCCTTATCATTGACCTTAGGGACTTCTTCAGTCATTATTTATTTTTGAAAAATCATGATCTTTCTTCTCTATGGATTTTATCATGGATCTTTTGGTCTCAAATTTGTATGATTTTATATTCATGGTAGTAGATCATTTTACCAAGATGGCATATTTTATACCGTATATAAAATCTATCAAAGATAAAGAAATGACTAAACTTTTTATTAACAACATCTATTGATATCACCAATTACCTAAAGATATTATATTAGATAGGAAGATTTGATTTTTATCAAGATTTTAAAGGTATTAAGCTTTCTTTTGTTTTTCATCCTCAAATTAATGGAAAAAAAAAATGGATGAATTAAGTTTTGAAATAATATTTAAAATGTACCATCAATTATCATCAAGATGATTGGACAATTCTTTTATCATTTGCAAAGTTTTCACTCAACAAACACCTTTCTTTATTAATTATGGTTATCATCCACAACTTAATACTTTTGATTTTTTAAAAGTTGATAATCTTAAAGCAAAATTATTTGTTAGAGTTATATGCAATAATAAAAGTGTAGTTAAATGAAGCTCAAGAATAACAAAAGATTAATACAGATGCCTATTGCAAGAAACAATCACAATTCAATATAGATGACAAGGTATGATTACTTTGTTGTAATATGAAGACTATTTGTCCTTATCATAAATTGGATTATTATAGGCTTGAATCTTTTTCTATTTGTGAAAAAGTCAATCATGTTACTTATTAATTATAATTATTAAAGTCTATGAAGATCTAATATGTATTTTACGTATCTTTTTTTGAGCCATATAAGACAATGAATATCTTGAAAAGAAGACAAATGCCACCTCTTCCTACAAAAGTGAATAATAATCAAGAATTCAAAGTAGAAGAAGTCTTAGATTCAAGGCAGCACCAAAAAAGGTTGAAATATCTTATTCATTAGCGTGGATATGATATTAGTGAATGCACATGAGAGCCAATAAAGAATCTTGCAAATAAAATAAAAAAATTAAAGTTTTTTATTGACAACACCTATCAAAATCAAGATGAAGAATGGCAAATTTTTGTTATAAAAGAAATAAGATTTAGAAAAGTTAATATTCTACCTCCTACTCTACTTTGTAATTTTTGGGTATTTGTGATGCTAAAGAGATGAAAAATCAACAACTAATAGATTCAATTCAAGAGCTATGACTTATTGACTTACTAGACAAAACATTATAATTATCACATCTTTTAAGATGGCATACTCAAGATGAAAAACCTAAGAATGACATGTCTTTTTTTGAATGAATGGCAAGATATAATGTATTTGGTATTACGACTTTGGAAGAAACTTTCAATGTTTCAAGATTTTATTAGAGATAGGAATGATTCTTGATGGTGTTCCAAATATTTTATTTGGAAGGACTTACAAACTCCTCAACAATGACTAAATAAGAAGGTGGTCTTTCTACTTTGGAATGAAATACTATCAATGGCTAAGAGGACCTATCAACCATCTTCAAAGAAAATAAAGATCATAGTATGTGGCAAATACAATTTGCCACATCTTGGATTTCTTCAATATATGATGATTGCTCCTCGTGGAACTCATTCCTAAAAAGAGAGGTGGGAGTGGACAAGGGGGGAAGGAAGGAGGGAAGGGAGGAGGGACTAATGTCACAGACATACATATTTATGCTAATTTTTACCTATATGATCTAGTAGAAGTAGATAAAAATAGTTTTATATCATAATATTTTCTAGAAAAGCTTCGTAGAAGCTTCATAGATGCTACTTTGACTTTACATGTATTTGTAATTGATTAGTAGGTTAGAAACTTGGTCAAAAAGCTAATTATTTATTAGTAGCTTGCAGAATAAGCTAACTATTTGGTGTACATATAGAAAAGTTGTCTTACAAGTTAAAATACATGTCTTGCAAAGTCAACACGTTTTGGAGGTCTTATAGGACAACGCCATGTGACTCCTACTTAAGAATATGTATGGAGGCAAGAGAGAAGCCTTCTTCACTCTTGTCAATGCCTTATTAGTCGTTAATCTTGTATCAAGACTTTTTATTTTTCTTGTTTTTCGCAATAATCATTCTAATTTAATATTATATCATCTATGAATGACTTTTTAGTACTTTTTAGTGACACAAGAATGTATTGAAAATTTCTTTCTTCAATATTCATGTCCTCAATATAAAGTTCTATTGAAAGAAATAGAACAGATATAAAATAATATAAAAGTAATGGAGCAAATACCATAATAAGTGAGCAAAGTATTATTGAGATAGCTTTGTACTTACTATTAATCTCCATATAACTTATTACTTTCATTAATATCATGTGAACTTAAACCATCAATCTTATACTTATATCTAAATATGGACCATTAATTCAATAAGATCTTAAAAAATCAAGAAAACTCTATCATTCTTACTAATTAATATAGGTATCATCTACAAAGGCTAAAATATTAACTTCCCTCTACCATCCATGCCTAAAAAAATTTACCTTATAACTGTTGTTCCATAGATTTCCAAGGTGCTGATGGTGCTATAAAAGTGAGGACTACAATTCTCAGTTTGCTTACCTACTATGGCATGACTGATGGTCCGTCTTCACACGACTGAGTCTCACACACAAGCAATACAATTTGATGTAGATCCTACTTCTATGGCAAATAGCCTTCATGTGCATTACTAAAGATTTTCATGTAATGCACCTTGGTACTTTTATTCTTAACCCAAGAAGGGATTTCACAGGTTGGGATACTAGACACTCACCCGAGCAACCCGGGTTCGAATCCTGGCAAAGGAAGCTCTCGAATGGGTGAAATACACCACACCCTTATTTTCTATCAGGTCTGCCCGTGTCATCGTTGCAGTCCTCTCCGACGAAAACTTAAGTAAAAGAAGGATTTTCGAAGAGATATGACTAAACTCTTTAACCAAATTGTTTGGCCTGCGAAGTGTTCATTCGTCAAACTCAATCGTATATAGTTTCATAAGACCTGAAATCACAGAGGTCCCTCCATGCCGACTGCCAAATTCTTACGTGTCAACTGGAAAACGAAATATCTACATGCAACAATTCCTTGACTAACTTGACTGCATAATCCTTTCGCAAAGAAACTGTGACCATTTAAACAAAAATCGTCTAAAATTGCAGCCGTTCTTCAAAAGCACTCCGGAATGCAAAGTTCCAAGTGTAGAATATTACTGAAGACGGCGCTACGTATTTTAAAGATTCACAGCAGTGCAACAAAGCACGAATCCGAGCAAACTTCGTGAAGCATGTATGTCTTGTTTGGTCAGATTGACCGTCACCTACACGTTCAAAGAGTATGCTCCAAAGTTCACTGAAGAAGAGCAGATTGCGATTTTATAAATCTTCCTCATCCGAATGTATTGATGAGGAACTTCTTGTAGATACTCATGAACTTAGCTACAAAGGCTGCACAAATTGCACACATGTGACGGTTAAACGACACACCAGGAGCAGAAACTGCAGAGCGTTTTCACTCTGCAGCCTACAACTTCTAATCGATTAAAACAAGAACACTGGAGTTACGCAAAAACTAGGGTCGATGAAGCTCACCTTCTAGGTGAAAGATAGCCTTCTGACCCTGCTGCATCCGATGCTCCTGTGTGCACAGAAAACCCAAAGTACCCACTGTAAGGTGCGCATTTTTTACAGGCTCGACGTATAATGGTTTTTGTCATTTGAAACATCTCCATGAGTAAAAAGGAGCAAGAGCCTCGGTTTAAACAAGGTTTTAGAGCAAGTTGGCAAAAGGTAGGAAACAATAGCTTACGTAAAAGGCAGCCCAGTGGCAGACCTCGTGCTTCAGCTCTGAATCCAGCTTCTTCATCAACTCATCCAGTAATCTCTGCAAAATCCAATCAGTTATGAACTCGTCCAGAACAGTAATTGTGAACACCTCGAGCTACAAAACCATGACATAAGATGGAGTAACTCAAACTGCCACAGACCTTGAGTATGACTTCGGGAGGAATGCAGTTCACAAGTAGCTCATAAAGTTTCTCTCTAACCTGGAACAACCTGCACCACCCGGACACATTGAGACCTATCACTAACTCACAGATGGAAAGGTTAAGAACATTACTTAACATGACATTCAAAGCAAAAAGTCACAAAAGTTTGCAGATACAAATGAAGCAAGTCACAGAAACCAGTCTTTCCGTAACAGATGAATGTATTCCATCCAGTGTTTCCATGACAAGACACAGTAAATGACGTACTTTTTGGGGCTTTGCTCGGTGACAATATCATTAGCAAGCCCCACAATGAACTGTTCCCAGTCGGTTGTTTGCACCTCTTGGTCAGCTGTGAATGGATACCTGTTGTGAATCACAAAAAAAATTGAAGTAAATTAAAATTATATTCTATTAATGAATAATGATAAATGCAGTTACTGCTATTTAAGCATACAAGGAACAAAAGGCATCAAATAAATGAGGCATAAATTGAGTACACATATGAACTTAAACATGTGGCAACACATATCTTGTAAATGCAAGATATACTGCACCAAATAAATGCTTTTGATGGCAGGCTTACTGTTTGGCTTTGCAGGCCTCCAAGCACAATATGGATCTCCTTAGATTTCGATTGGAGTGATGCGCTATGCGGCCCGCCAGTTCGGGGGGAAGTATCAAATTCTCCTTTTTCGCTACGAACATAAGGACATCAACAATCTGCCGATGAACACAAACCGTAAGGCATCCATACCAGTCAAAAACTATTGAATTGAAAATGCTGAGGATTAAATAAGAACTCATATAAAGTCAGCAACAAGCATTGAGCATCGTCATGCTCACATCATCTCTGGAAGGAGAATTGATCCGTATGTTGACACAACGTGACCGCACTGCCTCAATAACCTTTGAGGCACTATTGCAACATAAAAGAAGACGACATGCAGCACTGTACTTCTCCATTGTACGTCGCAAAGAGTGTTGCGCTTCCTTCGAGAGTTTGTCTACTTCGTTCAGAACCAAGACTGAAGCCAAACATTCCCAGATGTAAGAATCACGCAACCCAGAATCTTCATCACGACCAACAGGTCAAGTTTGGTTGTCACAAGTGAAGAGAAATGCAGTGCATGAAGCAATCACGTGACAAGGAGTAGGACTAATAATCGAACGTTCGTCAGAACTTTACAGCCCTATCAATTGGCATCAGTATCTACAATCGGAACGATCTGTTACCTCAAACTAAGACGAACATCTGGACAAAGTGTTACTCATAACAGTGAAGGATGGTTTAAATGTTTATCAGCAGATATTCAACATGCAAATCAAACAAAAGGGCCATGAATGGCTAGTGCTATTAGTGAATAGAAATGTACCTTTGAATCCTCTGTTGCCAGCTACATCTAGAGGCCGGTTTTTAGCCATATCTTTAATGATCTCCTGGACCACGTAACGATCCTGAAACCCTGCATCACTTGGATTGAGCTCCACATGATGATTACTTGATACAGTTGTAAGTTCTACCTCAATCTTTCGAGTCCCAGCCTGCATTTCGATGCGCACACGATACATGTTTAACCATACCAACCTTAAAATTCACTGGAAGATATGGAGGAGCAGGTTCAAAATCCTTCAAAGCATACCAAGAAGTTCTACTGCACGAAGTACAAGGGTGTGGTCGATTACCTCAACTTTCCATGGCTTGTTCTCCACTTTCACCTGCAGTTCCATGCAGTTACATCACCACCTTAAGAATAAATAAATAAGTCCCTGAAGTGCATTAAGTTTATTACCAGGACCGCGTTGCAAAACCCTAAACCCTGCTTCTAACTCAAAAATCACCACCAAGACAAGAACGATCTCAACATTAAAGCGAAATGCGATGATATGAAAACTAGAAAATAGCGTCGAGGGCAGCCAAAAGTTCAACCTCTTCACAAACCTAAAACTAAAGCTTCTACTTCAGCTTCAGTGACCTCAAATACGAACAATATGTACCTTTTCAGCGCTGGATCCAAACATCTCCCGAAGCAACGCCATGATGAGGGTCTTCTTACCAGCTCCAGAGGGTCCATAGAAAAGAAGATGAGGACAATCACCCTGCGCAATCTGAACCCCAAAGTAATCCCCACATCAAGATCATGGACTGAACACATGCTCACCTTGACATCAATCCAAACCCCTCTCACAACCCAATTTTCACACGAGGTAGACAACACTCACCAAATTCTTAAGGTTCGTCGCTTCCTCTTTATGAACCATAACCTTGTCCAAGGTTCGCGGCCGGTACTTGTCCACCCACAACATCTTGCCCAACTCCCCTTCACCCCAGCAACCAAACAATGCCCCAACTCGACAAATTAAGACCCCTAAACCACTACCTCCACGAAAAAACTATACACCATCCGCACACATCTTCGTTACGAAGAGTCACTCCAAACCAATACCAGGAGGCTCGCTCGACATGCAACAAAATTCAATGCTCTTCTTCAACAAAAAAAAACTTCCTCCTCACACATGGAACCGAACAACTAATGTAGATAAATTGTTTTTTTCATAAGACCAGTGCAGAATCGTTGAGCAGAATGCACTCATCATCAAGTCGAAGACTCGTCAAAGCATTCGTTGCACCACCGAGGCCTCGGAGAGGGAAAGGCAAGCTGGGGATCTCGCAACGTTCTGCTGGGGCGGGAGGGATTTTCGCGACGGAACAGTCGGATGGTATTCATCCGTGGGATGTTTCCAGGGACTCGTCGACATCCCAAGAGAGATTCTCCGCAGAATGAGTGGGGAGATCAGAATTGTGTGTTTTCCGTGTCCTTCGTTCAACCCCCGTTTTGTTGTGTTTGTGTGTTGCGTCTCCAATTCAAGCTCTTGCTAGGGTTTCGCGGGGACGTTGAAGCAGTTCACCACAGCAGCAACAGCAGCGAGCCTCGACCCCTCTGCGTGTCGCCCATCTCCATGGCGTCAAGAGTGGCCGCGATCTGGAACCATCCCGCGGGCCCCAAGACCAGTGAGTGGTGGATCGCTTCGTCTTGGTTGTTGGGTGTCTCGTCCTTCAATCTCGGATTTGTTTCCCGTTGCCCCTGTTGCATCGTTGTGGATTTGTAGCCGGTTTCCGGTTCTGAATTGGGTGATACGGGTATTTTGATAGATGGAGTGTAATGGGTTGTTTCTCTTTGCTGTGTGCGAGTGTTGTACTCGCTTTTGTGGGGAGCGAAATGTTCTGGAATCATGATGTTGATCTTGCTTACTTGCGCCTAAACTCTGCTAGATGTGGATGGTTTTCCTTTATTGCGGAGAAAGAAATTGCCTGGGATGTGGGTTTTGTTGTCTCTGTCTGGATTAGTCATATTTTGGATTGTTTCGCTGCTCATGCGAGCTTGCAATTTTGAATTGTGCTGGTTTGTTCTCTGCTAACCTAGATGTCACGTTTTCTGTTGCTTACCCTCGTAGTCTCTGGAAGTGTCTGGGTCGTAGTGAGTGAATTTGCCGAGATTCACTTGGAGCTGAGCAATATGGGAGTATTTCGAGAGAATGTTTCTTTGATTCTTGACCTTTATTGATGGCATTGTATCCCATTCGTTGCGAAGCGGTGTTGCAAAATTTTACTTGTGGAATTGACTCCGATCTGTTTTCACGTTTAGCTACATGCCACTATTATTCAGTGCTCTTGCTTCCATGCAGGAATCACTAGTGTTGTACTGGATGTTGTAATGGGAGTGTGTTTCTCAGAAGTTAGTTCTATGCTATACGTCCAATTGCGAGTAATTCGGAATATAGAGTATTTCTCTAGCCAAAAAATTTGTAGTAGTTTTCCTAAGGTTGATTCTTTGAGAAAGAGAGAATTTGCGACATCTTCTTGTACGTAGGTTGCATCGTGTGAGCCAACCGAGAATCTGTGAGGGTACATAATCGTTTAACTAACAAAGTGGTTTTCCGTCAATTTAAAGGGATGTGTTCTCACATTTAAAGGCTTCTCGTGATTAAAATCCCTTGTTTGATCTCAAAGCCTGGACTAAAAGATTGTTACATGGAATCTTACTCGACAGATTTATATGTTGTGAGGCGTTAATGAGGAGTCAGGATTTAATATGTGTCGTTTACTTTGAAAGATTTTGCGGAGCGTGATGTGCTTGTGGTGGCTCGGTAATTCCTTATTCATCAACAGAAAGTTACATTAGTATGAGATTTTGCTTGCTGCTGCTTGAGATCTCCTTGTGATATCATCCTTGGTAAATTTTGCATACACCTGTGGCCTGCAGTCCATTTCTGGGCACCAACATTCAAATGGGGCATTTCTATTGCCAACATCGCGGATTTTCAGAAGCCAGCTGATAAGATTTCCTACCCCCAGCAATTGGGTAAGCTTCAAGTCCCTTTTAGTTTCAATACTTTCATTCTTTTCGCGTTTGTGGAACCTGTTTTGGACTGTTAGTTCAGAGCGTTCCCTTAATTGCATTATAAAATGAACACTTTTGTTATAGTATGTTCTGATTTTGGTGATTACCCTTATAGAAAATTTAGGAAATCTTCCTTCATCAGTCTTTTGATATTGAAATCTGACTTATTTACTTTTACGGCCTTTTGCAGCTGTGACAGCCACTGGCTTGATCTGGTCACGTTACAGTATGGTCATTACTCCGGTATGTCTATCTCCTTGCAACCTTAAGTGAATGTGGTTTTTGCTTAGTAGGCAAGTTCTTGACCTACATTGGACCTTGTGGGCTTGAACTTAGAGGCTTTGAGATTTTCTTCCAATGTTTTGGATTTGCTCGAGCTCTTTGATGAGGAATCATAGAATTTAGAGTTGTAAATGTCATGGCAATGAGATGCACAAGTATGCACTAATGTTGAAGGATGGTTATAGTGGAGGATTTTTTCTTAATTAACTTTCCTGTCTGGGAATGTGGCTGGGGATATTGCAGAAAAACTGGAATCTGTTCAGTGTTAACATCGCAATGGCAACAACAGGAATTTATCAGCTCTCACGCAAGCTTTCGTAAGTTCATGCCTTCTCTAATTTCTTTAGTATGGTTTCTGTGTTCATGAACTTCAATGACCACACCTTCGTTTTATGCGCTTAACTTAAGATTTCCACATTGAATCACAGTGATGCTCATGTAGTAGTATTACTAATAGTAGTTTTGCGCGACTTTGTTTGAATTCCAGCCAAGATTACACGGATGTCCCAGAGGTGCCAAGGAAGCAGGTCGCCGCTAAGGAAACTCAATAATTACTATTCGCTGCCTTCTGTTCTTTCTCAAGTGGATTTAATGTAACTGATGCGTTTCTCGCATGAGTTATTGGCACCTTACTGTGTCAATATGGCCAAAAGGGACTGGCATTTTTCTATGGGGTAGAAACCAAATAAAGGATCCTGTTTGTATCACTTCGTAGTTAATGCAGACGATAAGTCTGGATGCAGTGGCTTGTGTGCTAATTGGCCATGAGTGAGCTACTAGCTGGCACTTCGTTGGTCATTTGTCATGAAAGACGTGATTTTTTAACTATATCGGTGAGCATGTAGACGCTACAAACTCAATGCGTTTTCTGAGATTCCATGATTTTTCTGGCAAAGCTGTCGTTGTATTACTTAGAATCCTCTTCGGCCTTCTCTTCTTGTTCTACTCTTGTTTGTGACATCTTTGTTTTAGGATTGGTTCATAGATCTGAGTGTACTTAATCCTGGTTGTGAGATACTATCTTTGAACACAGAAGCGTTTTGTAGATAAATCCAGGTGAATTTTCCCCTGAAGGATTGCCTATGGCATGAAGGAACTAGACTTCTGTATGTACAGCCACACATATCACCGAAACCTCTCGAGTTCTCTAGCAATACAATTATTAGTGATAATTCAATGAAACATACCCACAAATTATCAAAAGTTAATTGAATGTGCATGTCCAATTCAACACATAAATGACAGTCCAATAGTAAATTAAAGAATTTGTATCCAAATTGGTAAAATGTGACTAAAAACATTTCCAAAAGATTTACTGACTTGATATGGGTGGTTTTCTGAAAAATATCATATCAAATCATAACATTTTATGAATAGAAAAGATTTGGAGATAAATGATTTGTGTAAGACTTTTAAAAAGTTGTAAGAAACTTTTTATCCTCCTACTACAATAAATCTCCAATAGTTTTTGAAAAAATCCTACAATATTAATACCTTCCATTAGAAATCGTTAAAATGGCTATCAACAAAAAGGATGATTGTATTTACACAAGAGAATCATATGGTATTTTTATTATAAATAATAGTAAATTATGTCGTAAATGTTGTATTTAAATATTATTATTAATATTGCAAATATAAATTTAATTTTTTTATGTGAAGTTATAAAGTTAATGTAGATGGAAAATGTTAAAGCATTGACAATAATAAGTGTAATTACATCTAATAATGACATTGTGATGTTTGAAAAGCTTTTAAAGAAGTAGAATTGTACAAAAATTGAACAAATTAATTTAGAAGAATGTTAAATAGACCCAAGTTTTTACTAAATCAACCTATGATGAATATGGTTGTTTTTTATTGGTTTTGGATTTAGTAATAGAAAAATAAATCTAAATGTTTTTTTTTTTTTTTTTTTTTTTTTTTAGATGGTTAGAATGGATGAATCAATTTAATAAAAGCCTAAATCTATTTATCATTACCTTTTTTTATTTATGGTGCTACAAATCATAGTCTAATATTGTATCAAGTAGTAGTTACGAAAAGTAAAATATTGACTATATATTGCTATTGAATTATACAACAATTTGTTTTAGTATAGAGGTAATATCAATAAATTTGCATAACCAAATTTCTTTGACATGGTCTTCCAAAGATACAAAAAGGTAATAGTGGCAATTTGAAAAAATAAAAATAAAATAAAATAAAAAAATCTATAATTTACAACTATAGTTATATAAGAATAATGGATTTGTTTCTTGAAATAGTATAATATATTTTGAATATGATAGTTGAATCCATAAAATTAATCAATCCAACAAGAATTAAAATTTAACAATGTATTGGTGATAATATGTTAAGGACATGAATCTCGAAGAAAAAAAAAACCTCAATACACTCTTATGTCACTCAAAAAGACTAAAAAATCACTCAAAGATGATATAGTATTAAACTATAATGGCTATTGCTAAAGACAGAAAGACTAAAAAGTCTTTAAACAAGACCAAAGACTAAAAAGGCATTGACAAGAATGAAGAAGGCTTTACTCTTGCCTCCATATATATTCTTAACTAGGAACTATGTAGTAATGTCCTATAATACCTCCAAAACATGTTCACTTTGCAAGACATGTATCTTAACTTGTAAATTTGTTTTATATATGAACGCCACATAGTTAGTTTGTTTTGCAAGCTACGAACACGTGGTTAATTTGTTGATGAAGTTTCTAACCTATCAATCAACTACAAATACATGTAAAGTCAAAACAATGTCTATCAAACTTTTAAATATTTTATTAAAAAACTATTATGAAATAAATTTATTTTTATTTAATTCTATTTAATCATATAAATAAATATTAGAATAAATACATATATTTGTGACATTATCTCCCTTTTTAGGAAAAAGGTTCCACGAAGAACAATCATCATACGCTAAAGAAATCTAAGATGTGGCAAATTATATTTGTCACATAATGTCACGGACATACTCATGTAAGCCAGTAATTACATATACAAATAAGTAGAAGTAAGTAAAAGTAGGTAGAAGTAAGTTAATTTTATAGTATTTGATATGGAAGCTTCTTAGAAGCTTCATAGATGCTGCTTTGACTTCATAGGTGTCTTTAATTGACTTTTTGGATTAGAAACGTGGTCAACAAGTTGGCCATATACCACACATGTTGTTAGCTTGGAGACCAAGCTAACTATGTAGCCCACACGTAGAAAAACTTGCCTTGTAAGTCAAGGCATGTGTCCTACAAAGTCAACACATATTAGAGATCCTATAGAATGTCACCACGTAGCCCCTAGTTAGATAGTATATATAGAAATAAGAGTGAAGCCTTCTTCACTCTTGTCAACTCCTTTCTTGCTTCTAGTCTAGTTTCAAGGGTCTTTAGTTTTCTTGACTTTTTGGCAATAGCTATTCCAATTTTTTTCTTAATATATATATAAAGTTATTTCTATTTTGTCATCTTTCTTTGAGAGAAGTCTCACTCGTTTATTTGTCTTTATCGTATTCTTGTGCTTGACAAATTGACAAGAGTACACCTACAATATCAGAGCTTTGTCTAATCTTGATTAAGAGTGAATTACCCCTTTTTCTTGATAAGATATAAGCATATTAGAAATTGCGGATTACCCTCTTCTAAAATGATATTGTCCAATGTATTTTCTTTGTTCTCAAGTCCTCTCTTCTATTTGTATTAAGCGATATTAGACATCTTCTCTTTTCTAAGTGTTATCATGGCAGAACTTGTTGAAATGAAGAGTGCAATGGCACAAATACAAGAGCAATTGAGGAAGTTAATACTTGTGATGCATCAACTCAATTTACGACTACAAGGAGCAACAAGATAGGTAGGAAGTGAACATATAGAAATGATTGGAGCTGCTTCAACATCTGCACCAAATCATGTCTTTTCTCCTAAGGTGGAACGTCCTTTCAATTTAGAGAACCAAGAATTTTCCTATCCGAGAAGTTTGATGGCACTAGATCCAAGTTTTGAGGATTTATTAATCAAGTGCAACTTGTGATTGAACTTCAACCCCAAAGCTATCCAACTCCAGAATCGCAAGTTAGATTCATTGGTATGCTTCTTTCAGGTTAAGCACTATTGTGGTTCTCATCTTTTCTTGAACAACGAGATTCAATATTGGATAATCTAGAGGCTTTTTTGGCGGAGTTTTGATCCATGTATGGAAAACATGATGCAATTTGTGTTGCAACCAATAAGATCTATATTTTACGATAAGACAATCGATCAGTAACGTTGTATGCTTCACAATTTTGACATCTTGTAACTGATATCAAGTGGGATGATGTTGCACTTATTAGCCAATTTTTCTATGGATTACAATATGAGGTAAAAAAATTAATGCTCAACTTACTTGATCCTCAAACATTGATTCAAACAATTGACTTTGCTGTGAAGTGCGATAATTACCTTTTTGAATTCTGATGTTAGAACCATACAAGTGCACCTCAACGTTACTATAATTCAATGGCAACATCTACACCTCTTCAACTTATACATTCGAAAGTAGAGGATATGCAAATTGATGCAATATATTTCAAACTTCTTACTGAGCAAGAAAAGACTCATCGTCGTCAAGAAGGATTATGTTTATATTGTGGAGAACCAAAACACACTGCCCAACATTGTCCAAAGAAATGACGCAACTACAAAATGAAGAGTATGGTTGTCAAAGAAGACAATATGTCGAAAAATGAGTTTGTCCAGCTACAATAGGGACTGTGCAATTGGAACCTTGTACAACGTCTAGTAAATATCATATTACATCCTCAAAGCCCTCTCCTTGTTTTACATTAAATGTTATTTTAGAACCTAAATATTACAAAGACTCTCTCTTGTTAGATTCAGGAGCCTCAGTCTGTTTCTCAGATGAAGAATTTACTGAAAGACAAAGCATATCTTCAGTAAAGAAAACTAAACTTGTTTATGTAGAAATCATAGATGGTCGTCCATTGTCTTCTAGAGATATTACTCACGAAACCCTTTTTATAGAAGTAATAATCAATAGTCATAATAGCTTTATAGTATTTAATATCATTAGATCTCCCTTTAATCTAGTTATTTTAGGTTTATCGTGGTTAAAAAAATACAACCTTCAAATAGATTGGATTTCTCAAACTCTTACTTTCTCTAAAAGTATAACTAACAGTGTAGTTAATCAAGTAGAGAGTCATAAGTCCAGTTCAATTAAACCCGTGTTTATAAGTGCAAAAGCTTTCTTGCATGCTGTTATGAAAGAAGCACCATACATTATTCATGCCACACTTGTTTCTACTACTGGAAAGACTTCAAGTGGCATTCCAAGCCAATATCAAGAATTTCAAGATGTATTTGAAAAAAAAAATGCGGATACACTCCAGAAACATCGTCCCTATGATTGTTCAATTGACCTTCAAGAAGGAGCACAACTGCCATTCCGACCAATCTACAATTTATCACAAAATGAATTAACTGAACTCAAGGAGTATATTGAAGAAAATCTAGCCAAGAATTTCATACGCCATTTTAAATCTCTGGCAGGAGCTCCAATTCTATTTGTGAAGAAAAAAGATGGATCATTGCGGATGTATATAGTTTATCGAGGACTCAACAAGATTACCATCAAGAACAGGTATCGACTACCTTTAATATCTAGACTTCTTGATCAGCTGAATCAAGCTAAGATCTATACAAAAATAGATCTTCGGGGAGCATACAATCTAATACGCATCAAAGAAGGAGATGAATGGAAGACTGCATTTCGAAGTAGATATGGACATTTTGAATACAACATCATGCCTTTTGGACTTACAAATGTACCAGGAGCTTTGCAACATCTAATGAATGATATTTTTTGAGAG